AAAAGCTGCAAAAAATATATTTTCAAACTATTTATTGGTAAATTTAGTCTAATAATTGAAAACATGGATGAAATAAGAAACAAGAAACAAATAAAATAAAACGCATACAAAGCAGAACACAGCTAAATGTATCAAAAGTATGTCTATGTAATATTAGAATTTTCTGAGACAATGAATTTTGGTTTTTCATTTTTCCCCCCTGTAAGAGGTTTTTATTTAATAGAATTTTTGGACAAAAGAAATCGCAATATATCGCCTTGCTTATAGTATCGCACTATATCGGGATATATCGTATCGTGACCCCTCTGTCATGAAATGTATCGTATCGCCAAATTCTTGCCAATACACAGCCCTACTTACAACACTGCAAAATTTTATGCTGCATCTAAGTATTCTACGCAGCTGACGGTATACGTATAAAACTGAACTAAACGGGGAAAAAAATAAAGATGGCTAGTTATTTTTTGTTACGGCGGTGATATGAAATTTATCCCTGACTGAGAATTCATTTTTAAATGTTTCCGTTTAGCATTTAAGATGATGAAATTTTATGCTGTAATGAGATATTAAATAAAATGCAACTAACTGATACTAAACCCAAATTATTAATGTTTTATATTAGGGATGCACGATAACATGTTAAGAACCGATAACTTTCTCAATAATATGCCAGGAGATGAGACTAGTCATAAATGGGTTAGCCTGGTCCTTGCCTTCCTACGCAGCTCCGCTCAATTCTAGTTTCCCTTCTCTGCTCCGTCTGGGACTTCTCCCACTGAGATGGATTTCACTGGCAGATTTTTAGCCGGGCCAATCAGAGAACAGAACGTCAATTTTCTGCGCAGTGTCAGCTTGTAGTTTATTTTACCTGGGCCAATCAGCAAACAGAAGGAGGAGCTTTGAATGACGTCGATGTTCTGCGCAGTGTCTGCTAGTTATTTTAGCATACGGCAGTGGAGGAAGTGAATGAAGRCAGTCTGTGTTGATAAGGCTTCCAGATTAAAATAAATTTGTCTGACAAAAGCAGCAGCTCTCATTTACAGTCGTCTCGTTTGGCTCGGTATATTTCTCCTCTCAGTAGGGTTGTTTACAGCACACGCCATTTCCGGTTAGCTTCTTAGCTTAGCCTCCGTCACAGCGACACACACGCATGCTTCAGCAGAGGCCACGCCTCCTGCAAGAAACAATTCTCTATGCATCAAGTCCAGACCCTCGTACGAAGCAAAGTGATGGACAGGGTCTGGTTTATACCAGGCTATAAATGGGTAGGATCATAACATAAACAAGACAAAAAACAAATGACACTGTAAATTATATTATTTTAAATAAACTCTTAGCAAACATTTCTTAAAGTATATCAAACAAATCAATTTCTCAAATGGCCATCTTTTTAAATAATGCACATTAATAATAAAAAAGACCTTTAACACTGATCTCAGATTTAAACAAATATGTACAAAGAAAAAGTCATTTTACAAGTTTAAAAACAGATAATTCACTAACACAGGTAAGATTCAAAGTACATTTGTTTTTAACTATTAATATTATATCATTTAAAACATTTCTCTATCTGAAACAGTGCTTCTGAGAGTGTGAATGCGTTACGACTGCATCACACTTACAGGAAGACACACAGCATGGTAAACCGTGGCTAAAAGGAGATAAAAGCTTCGGTCTTTAGCGAGGGTGAACGGCTGCTTGTCAAGCTCCATCATTTCCATCTTTAAAGTGCTTGAAATCTGTGTCCTCTCTGGCAAGTTTTTTGGTTAAGTCAAAAGCCTCAGCAGTGATTTAAGTCCTGATGAGTTCGTGAATGCTAGCTTGTTGTTAGCATTTTATCAGACGAACTTTGTGCTGCATTCAGGAAGTAACGGACATTACATGTTCTCAAACTTGGAGTGGTTGTTCCATCTGACCTTTTTATGTTTATAATTATAAAGTTTGTGTGTAACACATGGTTAATTGGTAAAATAATATTAATAATTCTTAAAATGACTGGTTGTTTTTCAGCACGTAGTATTTCAAATAATTTTTCTAGTGAGAAACTTGTTTTTTCCGATACAACTTGAACGTTGGACAGGACGGGGTGCGGCTTGACCAAAACGAACAGCATTCTCTTTGCTGCGCTGGCAAACGTACATTTATGATTGGTTTTGTTTGTTATGATATCAGACCGATAAGAATGACATCATAATCTCCTAATATCGGGCCGATTTTATACAATATTGGGTCTATTTTTTATTTACGTGTGTAATATTTTCCCCCTCCAAGTTGTACTGTGAAATGGCAACTGAAGTTGTGATATGACATATATCTCCATGGTACTGGGGCAGTGCATGGTCACACAAACATACGTCATCCGTTGACTAGACCGTCTCATTTCACAGCACAATATCAAATCTGCAAATTAATCATTTTTAACGTGTTCAAAATTCAAGCAACAGGACTTGAACTCTGACGCACACAAAGAAACGGAGAACTCCCTTTTGTTGAGTCAGTTTGCCAGAAGTCACAGCGAAGTGAGAAACTACGTTAGCAAACACATAACTCATTTTGTTTGACATTAAAACATGATGTCATCGCAGCTGAAAGTCACAGACTTGAGTGCTAAAACATCACACACCAGCTTTATTCAATGCTTAACATTAAAGATAGTTGATAATATACTTTTTAAATTGAATTTGTTGTTAGAGGATTAATTCTGCGTCGAACTGTTCACATTAAGCTTCTGGAAAAAATGTAAATTTAAGATGAAAATATTTGGATTAGAGAGGCTGAAAACGGGAATGTCCCAGTGATGAAAGAGCTGAGAAAGGGAAGTTGTAGAGTTTTATTTTTTTTTTCTTCCCACTTCCTCTAAACTTTCCCAGTCAATGAAAATGACGCTCCTGCTTGTTGACGCTTTTATTAAACGCAACTGCTGAGGTTAAAGCTCTGGAAATATTGGGAAGTTTTCTGAACTAAATCTGTGGTAAGAAAGATGTAAAAGGTGTAAAAAAAAAATACAATTACCTTTCAAGAATCAACTTAAAATCAGCGTTAATGTCAATAAATTTGTATTTCCTTCAGATAAGCTGAGATCAAACACCACCTGAGTGAGTTTTAATTTTTAACGTTTACGACCAGGTGTGTGTGTGTGTGTGTGTGTTCCTGCCGCTGCTTCCACGCTGAAATAGACTCACACATGATGACTCACCGAGTTTGCCTCATGTTGCATCATCTGCAGCAAATCTGCAGATGTTTAACAACAAACAGCAACAAAGTCAGATTAATCAAGTTTATAAGCTGTTAGGATTATTAGCAGAATCAACACATGCAGCACTCGATGCAGTAAAACCAGCTCAGTTTTAGACACTGGGATTCAACTGTTGCAGATGTGCTTGATTGACGGCACAGCTGCTTTAGCACAAGTGATTGGCTAAAGAAAATAAATAAATAAATAAAAGCACTGAACGAGTTGACTGAGCCACGTTTAAATGCTTTTTATTTAATCTAAATTTGTGAGTTGGAAGTCTTTGTGCTGCATTTTCCTATTGTTATTAGCATAAACAAGCTAACGTAAGCTGTTAAAGAAGCGGTGTGTGTTTTTATCTGTCTGAACTCTGGTTAATAATAAAACACAGCTGTTTTCCTGCAGCGCTGCTCTTAGCCTTTCTAAAAAAACAACCATCTGTAAACCAAACAGCGAAGCCTCTGTTTAGACTTCAGGTCTGTTTAGATGTACAGACAGAGTATTTTTAGTTGTGGCAGACTTTTGACTTGAATAGCTCCTCAACTAAAATCAATCCCAGCTGTTTTATTTGACCAGGTCCTCTCTTTATATCAGAATATGGCTAAAACATGAATACTTATAATTTGTTCTTTCTGGATTTTTGCAGAGATATTTGAGCACTAAGTTTTGAAACTGTGGGGGGGAAAGGTCCAGTGTTAACTCTTGTGTAACTGGTTCTCCACTCAGAGCCAGCTGAGATGAGCGGACCAGAGGTTGCCAACACACCGGGAGGCGGAGCTCCAGGAAAGGAAGGGAAGGAGCCCGTGGCCAATGGGCACGCAGGAGAGAGCCCCGACGCCAACCCGTTCGCTGAGTACATGTGGATGGAGAACGAGGAGGAGTACAACAGACAGGTGTGTTCACAGAAGCCCTGTTCTGATTGGGTCGACCTGGTGAGGAGGTACAACTGTAGCTTTATTGCTGTTTGGTTCCCTCTGTCAGGTGGAGGAGGAGCTGCTGGAGCAGGACTTCTTGGAGCGCTGCTTCCAGGAAATGCTGGAGGAGGAAGACCAGGACTGGTTCATCCCTTCACGTGACCTCAACAACCAGGGAGTCGGGCAGCTTCAGCAGCAACTCAACGGGCTGTCGGTCAGCGATCACCACAGCAACGTGGAGGAGGTTGCGGTGAGTCCTTGTACACTTTGTGCTAATTTAAATGTAGCATTTGGCTATGGCTTTGCTAATGTTTACCTTTTTTAGCTACATCTTTGTAACATAACATTTATCTATGGCTTTGCTACATATAGCATTTGGCTAAGAATTTGTTAATTTGTACCCTTTTTTAGCTACACCTTTTCTACATTTAGAATTTGGGTTTGGGTTTTCTAGTTTGTACCATTTTTGGCTGTAGCTTTGCTACATTTAGCATTTGGCTATGGCTTTTTCTATACTCAGCATTTGGCTATTGCATTGCTAATTTTTACTTTTTGGCTACAGCTTTGCTACAACTAGCATTTGGCTACAGCTTTGCTACAACTAGCATTTGGCTACAGCTATGCTACAGCTTTGCTGCAACTAGCATTTGGCTACAGCTTTGCTGCAACGAGCATTTGGCTACAGCTTTGCTGCAACTAGCATTTTGGCTATGGATTTGTTAGTTTTTACCTTTTTTTATGCTTCTTTTACATTTAGTTTCTGTTCTGCTTGTTTTAACTTAAACAAATCTGGTTAATGATTCAATCTTCACATTTCAGTGAAGTTTTATTTTAGTAGAATTTTACGTTTCTCTGTTTTTTTTTTCACCTTGAAATCTTTGACATTGTGAGTTTATGATTTAAAGCAGTTTGCTTAAAGCTTCTTGTCTCTTTCTGCAGAGGAAGAGCGTCTTGAATCCCGAGGCGAAGGAGTTCATCCCGGGAAAGAAATATTAGGAGTCCCCCTCCCCCCCACGGAGCCTCCATGCACACATGAGCCCTCGCACACTCTCAAAGACTTACGGCCATGGCCACACACACTTCTCTCTCTCACACACACACACACACACATAAACACACACACAAACATCTGAAGTCAGTGGCGTGCCGGCAGGCCCAGTTGGGGGGTGAGGGGATTTATTTTGTTTTTGTTTTTTTCCTCTTTAATCTTTTTTTTTTTTGTTTCTTGTAAACTGAGGGACACTGTTAATGGGGCGGGGCGGGGGTGGGGGGGTGGTACCAGCACCACCCTGCTGCAGGCGCTGGCTTCATCACTGCAGTTCAGGTGACAACTGTTGGCGTTTCCAAAGCACGCAGATCTCAGCGTGGTTCCCTTTGCACTGTGGCAGCTACCCGGGAGAAGACGCCAGGTCAAACCGTTCACAGCTCAGATTAACTCTGATTAAACGCGACCCTTTTTTTAAAACTTATCGGGGAACAAACGACGCCAGCTGGTTGAGGGGTTTCTGTAACAGCGAGGATAGAGGGGGACAAACATTTGAAGGGGGTTTCGCCGACTTTCTGCCCACTGCTTTGGAAACTCGTCGTTCAAATGAATTCACGTTTCGACGCTCCTGGTGACATCACCACCCCTCGTTTTTTAATTTTTATTTTATTTGCAGCTGCAGCGACTCCGTTCCAAAAAAACCAAATCACAGACCTTCACCCTGCTTGGTGATTTAGTTACAGATGAATTATGTTTTTGTGTCCAGCGACAGAGAGCGGAGGTGGCTAATGTTGAAATCATGCATCGAGTTGGATCTGAAGTAATCTTAAAGTTCAGTTTATGTTTTCGTGCTCGCAGCTTCGTCTATTGGGTTTTGTTACAGAGGGGGCGGGGCAGGGGGGGTGTTTGGTCTGAGACGCAGCCACTGCTGCTCAATTTGTTTAGCATCAGAACCAAGTGTCCATATCCAGATAAAAAGTTGTCAGATTTTATTTTATTTTCTACAGGTTTTGTGTTTTTCAGGATGGGTTGTTGGTTTCTACCGGGGATCGTCCATTCAGTCCGGTTAGCGTGGGCCCTGTGGTTTTTGTCCCCTCTTAAGGACAGATATTTCTCTTTTTTTATTTTTTTAATGAGGGAGTTCTACTTTTAAACCATAATTCTTTGTGGTCTGGGTTTTCTAATTTGCGAGCTTACTACTTGTTTAAAAAAAAAAGCTGTGAGAAACTTAAACAGATTCAGTATTGTCAGATTTTCTCATTTGTGGCATCGAAACAATTTAATTTAACTTGTCCTGACGTTAAAGCAGACCCTCAGACACGAACTGACCCGGGTCCAGGTTTTGGAGGTCTTGGTTTAAAGGGGGAACTTCCTCACACACCAGTGTTGGACCACAGCTGTCGAATGGCTCCCCGGAGAAGCCGATGAGGGAATGTCCGCCAGGTGGATTGTACAACATGAAATCATTTTTGGTGATTTTTGTTCGACTTAGACGACAGAAGCTGTTTTAAAAGAAAAAAAAAAGATTCTTCCGAAGACACAGTATAAATTTCAGTACAAATAAAAATAATGAAAAAAGACAAATAAAGATGTAAAAGACAAAAGGCGATGCGTGTTTATTTACTCTCATCTACACATTTATTGGTTTATTGAAGCCTTGATAAAACTGAGACTGAGAGGAAGTGTTGACCATAGTGTTCTGATACCAGCAGTTTTAAAACTACTCAATCAACATGCACCGATACCTGATTTGATACCCAATTGACTGTTGCAGTTTATATTTTATTTAAAACGTTGAAACGATTTATCATGTTGTACATTGATTTGATCCAGTCAGAGGTGCTGTGAGAGCCACCTTCTAAATAAAAAATGTGTTTTTAAAGGCCTTATGTTTAGGTTCTAACTCCATACTCTGTATTGGCGAGTACCCAAACTGATTAACTTGGTTTGAGAAAAACTGGTATCTGGACAGCCCTAGTTAACAGTAAAGCTATGGCTTTGTTAATTTACCCTTTAGCTACAGCTTTGCTACATTTAGCATTTGGCTATGGTCTTATTTTATAGCTTTTGATGGCGGGTTTGGCTGTAATTCCTAACAGCAACACTAACTTTACTGTGTTTTTATTGGTGAAGTCTTCCAGTTGATATTTTCAACTCGGAAGTTGGAAGTTCGTCCCGGGTACAACTGGAACACAGCATTTAAAGGGATCCATGATTAGTTGTAACATTAGACTTTATTTGATAAACATATTTTAACTGTAAAATAAAGACTAAAAATACTGTAGGCTGTTCAGTTTTGTAAATTTTGTAAAATATATTTTAACATAGACGGAGCCATTTTTTTACACAAAAAGCATTCTGGGTAAATGATGTGGATAGGTCCTCAGTGTGAGAGCAATGCTATTAATCAGCTGTTAAGTCTGATTATGCAACTGTTGCATAATCAGATATAATTTATGTGTGAAAAGATGAGTTTTATTTAAAAGATATTAAGCAGTTTACAATTTCAGCTTTACAAAACTTTTTATGTGAAACTAATTTGTTTCAGCCTAAAATGACAAATCTGTTCAATATTTACTTGAGTGCATTCAAAAAGGCCAATGTTTTTTACGTGGTTATTGGTTTGTGCTGCCCCCAAGCGGTCAACTATAATCAATGCAGGTTTAAAAGTGAACATTTTAAAATATGAATTTACTTTTACAGCCTTGTTTAATGTTTTATCTAATTTAGCTAGTTGCTTTTTTTAGATCAAAATACACAGACTGAAGAAAAAAAAGGTACACATTTTCAACTCAAAGTTGAGCCAAAACATGTTAAAAACCTGTATTTACCTGTAAATCAGCCCACGGGAACATGGCTCCTGGTTCCTCCTTGGTGCAGATGTCTCTTGTCTTATCACAGCCCTGAAAATTAATCCCTAAGTGACAACTTGTGGAATTGTTATTGTTTACGATTAAAGTACTTTAAACTCATTCTGTTCATTTTAATTCTCTTCATGGTGACATCACTCATTTCTACTGCTGCAGCTCTGACTTTAGTGTTACTTTAACAATAAAAGGCTTAAATCACCTCTATTAAAGAGTTTACCTAGAATATTTGTAATACTGACACATTTGTTTCAAGAACTTCATGACGGTTAATTTTTTTACGGAGGAAGGGTTTATTTTTTTTTAAAGTGCAGTTTTTTTCCAACATCACCAGGATTTGTTCATTAGAAATCACGAACGAATAATCAAAAAGTACAAAAAAAAATCAGCTTTTATAGTACAATAAAAATTCACATGTTCTTGTTATAAAAGCCGTGCAGCTAAAACAACTCATCGTCTAAATCGTGTGCAAAACACTCCTCAAACCACGACTGAAGGGTTTTCATTGGTCGTAAACTCTCACAGCGATGCCTTTAGCTGTCGCCGCTGAAGGAGTGCCGGTAGAAGACGTCGGCGTTCGCAGCGTAGTCCATGTCGATGGAGGCGCCCAGACTCTGAGCCCCGAGTCTAGCTCCGCCCAGGGCCGAGGACTGCTGCAGGATCAGGAGGCTGTAGCCCTTCAGCTCGTGCGAGGCCGCAGCCGCACCCATGACCTCGGTGAACCCTGAGGAGAAAATAAATAATAAATAAATGGTTTTGTTTTTGTTTCTTGCACACGTTTCAGCTGCAGGACCACCGACCTGGCTTCAGGAGAGACCAGCTCTTCCACACGGAGCCCACACACAGGATGGGCAGCCCCAGCTCGCCGCTTAATAACGGCTACAAGGAGAAAAGAGAAAGGAGGCTTTAGCTGTTGTGGTGCAGAAGCTAAACGTCTGGATTGTTTGTTTACCTCCTGTGCAGCAGGTAAAACTGCTTCTACGTGTTTAGCGAGGACCCTCCCAGCCTGAGCGAACACATGCTGACTGAGAGCGTCTCCGGTCTCCGCAGCTTAAAAAAAAACAAAAATATTTTAAACTCACTTTTTATTTTTATTTATTATAAAATCTAAAGCAGGAAGGAAGGCGTCGCCTACCTTCGGCCACCTTACAGAAATCAGCAAAGAAAGACTTCTTGACGTTTTGAGACATTTAGTTTTTAGCTGGTGTTTTTAGCTATTTAGCATTAGCTAGTGTTTTGTTCCATTAAGCTTTTAGCTAGTGTTTTTAGCTATTTAGCATTTAGCTAGTGTTTTGATTGTTTTTAGCTAGTGTTTTGTTCCATTAAGCTTTTAGCTAGTGTTTTTAGATATTTAGCTAGTGTTTTTAGATATTTAGCTAGTGTTTTGATTGTTTTATATTTTAGCTGGTGTTTTAGCTATTTAGACTTTAGCTAGTTTTTATTGTTTTTAGCTAGTGTTTTGAGCCAATAAGCTTTTAGCTGGTGTTTTTAGCTATTTAGCGTTTAGCTAGCATTTTCATTGTTTTTAGCTAGTGTTTTTAGTTATTTAGCTAGTGTTTTGATTGTTTTATATTACAGCTGGTGTTTTTAGCTATTTAGCATTTAGCTAGCATTTTCATTGTTTTTAGCTAGTGTTTTTAGTTATTTAGCTAGTGTTTTGATTGTTTTATATTACAGCTGGTGTTTTTAGCTATTTAGCATTTAGCTAGCATTTTCATTGTTTTTAGCTAGTGTTTTGAGCCCTTTAGCTTTTAGCTAGTGTTTTTAGCTTTTAGCTAGTGTTTTGAGCCCTTTAGCTTTGAGCTGGTGTTTTTAGCTATTTAGCATTTAGCTAATGTTTTTAGCTTTTAACTAGTGTTTTGATTGTTTTATATTTTAGCTGGTGTTTTTGGCTATTTAGATTTTAGCTAGNCTATTTAGCATTTAGCTAATGTTTTTAGCTTTTAACTAGTGTTTTGATTGTTTTATATTTTAGCTGGTGTTTTTGGCTATTTAGATTTTAGCTAGTGTTCTTGTTGTTTTTAGCTAGCATTTTGTTCCATTAAGCTTTTAGCTATTGTTTTATATTTTAGCTGGTGTTTTTAGCTATCTAGATTTTAGCTAGTATTTTAGCTATTTAGCATTTAGCTAGTGTTTTGAGCCCTTTAGCTTTGAGCTGGTGTTTTAGCTATTTCGCATTTAGCTAATGTTTTTAGCTTTTAGCTAGGGTTTTGATTGTTTTTAGCTAGCATTCTGTTCCATTAAGCTTAGCTAGGCCTTTACTTTTGTTGATTTAACCTTTTAGCTAGTGTTTTAACTTAAAAAAACACTTTAAACTCACATTTTCTTCTTACTTATAATAAAAGCTAAAGCAGGAGTGAAGGCTCCGCCTACCTTCGGCCACCTTCTTACAGAAACCAGCAAAGAAAGACTTCTTGAAGTTTCTGTAGAGGTGTGGCAGCATCCCCATCAGATCTGACACCTGAGGTCACATTAAAGGTTTATTTTATTTACTTCTGGGATAAAACTCGTGTTTCTCGGTGTGGGCGTGGTCTGACCTGGAAGTACTCCTCCATGGCTTCTCTGACACGCGTGATGTCGTGAGGCGGCGCCACCAGGTTGTCTTGGGCGTCAAACACTGTTTTAACGGCCAGCTGAGCCACCCAGTAAGCTGGGAGAGAGAGAGAAGAAAGCTGAAATAAAGATTATTTACACACATATATTCTGTCGCCATGTTTACCTGATCCTTCATCTCCCATCAAGTGACCCCAGCCGCCGCAGCCCACCTGTGTGCCGTCAGGATTGACTAATTTACAGTTGGAGCCGGTTCCTGATATCAAGACGACACCTCCTGAAATAAAACATATAAAGATGATGAGGTGGATGTTTTTGAGCCGTAAACACGCCTCCACAGACACGTCTGAGGCTAAAGTCTCAAACCTCCACCTGAACTGGAAGCAGCAGGTGGAGCTCAGCAAAGATGTCATGGAACATAATTCATCCTCCAGGAGAAACGATCAGAGATTTACACAGTAAAACCAACTACAGGAGAAATGATCAGAGATTTACACAGTAAAACAACTACAGGAGAAACGATCAGAGATTTACACAGTAAAACAACTACAGGAGAAACGATCAGAGATTTACACAGTAAAACAACTACAGGAGAAACGATCAGAGATTTACACAGTAAAACAACTACAGGAGAAATAATAAGAGATTTACACAGTAAAACAACTACAGGAGAAATAATAAGAGATTTACACAGTAAAACAACTACAGGAGAAAACAATCAGAGATTTACACAGTAAAACAACTACAGGAGAAACGATCAGAGATTTACACAGTAAAACAACTACAGGAGAAAACAAGAGAAACTGCACTTTTTTTGTGAGAATTTAATGTGAATGCTACCAACTCAACGACGGCTAAAATTAGCTAAAGAAGCTGAAAACGGCATTGTTAAAGCTAAAAGGAACAAAATGCTAGCTAAAAGACAAACAATCAAAACACTAGCTAAAATCTAAAAGGTAAAAACACCAGCTAAAAGATAAAACAATCAAAACACAAGCTAAAAGGTAAAATCAACAAAAGAAGTACAGGTCTAGCTAAGCTTAACGGAACAAAACACTAGCTAAAAGCTAAATGGCTCAAAACAATCAAAACACTACCTAAATAGCTAAAAACACTGTCAAAAACCAAAATCAACAGAAGTAAAGGTCTAGCTAAAAGTTTAACGGAACAAAATCCTAGCTCAAAACAATCAAAACACTAGCTAAAAGCTAAAAACATTAGCTAAACGCTAAATAGCTAAAAACACCAGCTAAAAGCTAAAGGGCTCAAAACACTAGTTACAAACAAACACTAGCTAAACACTAAATAGCTAAAACACTAGCTAAAACAATAACAACACTAGCAAAATGCTAAATAGCTAAAAACACCAGGTAAAATATAAAACAATCAAGATACTAGCTAAAAGATATAATCAACAAAAGAAGTAACGGTCTAGCTAAAAGCTAAATGGAACAAAATGCCATCTAAAAGCCAGAGTTGTAAAGTAACCAAGTACAAATACTTTGTTACTGTACTTAAGTAGAATTTTTGGGTATCTGTACTTTACTTGAGTAATTATTTTTCAGCCTACTTTTTACTTCTACTTCTTACATCTTTACACAATTATCTGTACTTTCTACTTATTACATTTTTAAAAAAAGGTAAGAAGTAGAAAGTCGTTACTTTTATTTCATTACAGCTTGTTAAAAATATATTATCCTCCTGGATGGAGTGAATTTGTGGTTGGACGAGAAGTACATATATATATATATATATATATATATATAAACAGGTGTAGAGCATCCTAATTTTTTCAACATTAACATTTTTATACGACAACATAGTCATTTTGGTCTTTAGAAAAACATTTTTTGAGGGTATGAACTCCCAATAAATGTCATTTTGGGAAGTCTAGCCACTCATTTTTACTCAATACTTTTACTTTTAATACTTAAGTACATTTTATGTCAGAAATTTACTTTTGATACTTAAGTACAAAGTATATTAGATACTTTAAGACTTTTACTCAAGTAACATTCTTAGAGGAGACTTGAACTTTTACCAAAGTAAATTTATGGTAAGATACTTGTACTTTTACTTGAGTATCACTTTGTGGTACTTTAAACATCACTGCTAAAAGCCAAAAGACGCAAAGGTCCAGCTAAAAGCTAAATATCGCAAACAGCTAGATAAGAGCCAAAACAATCAAAACACTAGGTAAAAGCCAAAATCTACAAAAGAAGCAAAGGGTTAGCAAAAAGCTAAATGGAACAAAATGCTAGCCAAAGGCAGCTAAAAGTTAGCTAAAACCAGCTAAATGCTAGAAGCCAAACCTAAAGGTAAAAGGTAGCACGGGGAGACAAGAACAGCTGCAGGTGTACCCCGATCGCTGGCTGTGGCCATGGCTCCGATGGCGTCGGTGGTGATGAAGTAGTGCTCGCTGAGGGTCGGGAAACGTTCCTTCATGACAGCGATCAGATTATCGATGGCGTCTTTCTGATCCCCTCCGCTCAGAGACATACCCTTCACACAAACACACACACAGTCAGGCTTCAACAGCCGAGACTCATTTTTACCACGAGACAACAACGTGACCCACCAGTAAGCGTAACGGCATGTTTGGATCCAGTCCTGCTTGGATCTTGGCTCTCTGGATCATGTCGTTGATGGTTTCCAGACATTTGTCCACACCGACCAGCTGTGACAAACAAAAAACCAGAACTTCCTGATAAGATGAGCTCCTTGATAAGATAAAGCTGTGTGTAAACTGTCCCACCCAGATTTTTATCTCCAACCTGCCTCAATCACCACAACCTGTTCTGCTCACCCACCCAGTGGTTGGTGCAGGGTCCAACCGTCTCTGCCAGGACCTTCCCTTCCCCGGACAGCAGCACAGCTTTGGAGTGGGTCCCACCGCTGGATGATAAACACACAAGTTAAAGAAAACCACATTCTACCGGTCAGGTTTTATAAGCACAAAAACACAACTGTTAAAAAAAACACTGGGCCTATTAAACATATTTACCTCTACATTATAAATTTAAGTCAAATTCAGGGTTATAGTCATAACCTACACTTTTAAAGAGCCAGAATAATCACGAGATTCACGGAGCGCTTCCGCTTTGGGGAACAAAAAAATCCAAAACAGTTTAATTTCCTAAAGAACTACTTTGAAATAGGAGCAAACGCTAATAAAATACACAAATATAGATTTACATTTGATAGAACTAACATTACAAATGTTTTCTTGAATATTCCAACTTTTTCTTACCCCTCTATTCCGCCGAACACCGGTGTCATCTTCCCGTCTTTGGTCCAGTAGTGATTCAAATGCAGCTTTAGCTTCAATTCTCGGCTAACAACTCAAATCTCGCGAGAGTTGAGACTGCACTCCAAGCTGCAATGCCAAAGATTCACCAGTAGATGGCGGTAGTGCGCTTATATGTAAGTCAATGGAAAAAGACGGAGTTAAAAGCCAATAAATAAACATCTAAACGCAAGGGCTGATACTTTACTTATAGAGTAAAACTCACCCTGTAACACTCTTAAATAAAAATAAATAAATCTTAAAACACAAAAAATTCAGTTTAGAATATTTAAAAAATGGCCAAACGACATAACTTATTTTTTGTTTACAAATTTGAAAACACAAAAATGAATAAAACACGATGTGATAATAGCTGAGTTATTCACAAAAAACACTCTAAATGCACATAAAATCACACACACTGTCATTTCTAAGGTTTGACTTAACTGATTTTGTCCCTTCTCGGCCTCAAGATGATTTTAATTTAACACTCTGGCATGACTTAATCATATTTAAGACTTCAAACTTTGCCTTTACATTGTTTTGTTTGCAGTCTTTTTATCTTTACTGGGAACACAAAACAATTATTTTCATCTCACTGTATTTTACTCTGGTCAAAATGACAAGGAGAACTAGATGTTCTATAAAAAGCTTAAAAAAAAGTTGTCTAAAAAGATTAACAGGAAACTCGGGCTAACAGAGGCCTGTTTTATTTCCTTACTCATGCTTTAAAAATCCACGTTCAGCGTCAAAATAATGTCAGCTAAGATTTAATAGCCCTGGAGACAGCACAGTTTCTCTGAGAGCCAACAGGAACTGGAGGCATCTGCAACACATTAGTTTCTGCTGGGCAGCTTCACTCACCAGTATCAGCTGCAAAACCAACAATTCCTGTAATTTTTCTGAACTTGAACCTATTCAGAAACTATAAAAAGAGCTTATAGAAACATGGTGAAGTGTTTTTTGTTTTAATTACAGGGAATGACAGCTGAGTCACATGTGATGGTCTGTTGGGTATTTACCAACAAAACCATCACTCCTCACTTTATGTTTGAATTCACACAAAAACAGAACAAAAAAAGGAAAAAAAATCTAAAATTGGAGTTTAAATTCTGCAACAATTAGTGAAGAAAGTGAGTGTGCCAGGAGTGAAATCAAGGCAGAAGTTACACAAGAGAGAGGAGGTGGGTGGAGAGGAGGTAATGGAGAAGAGCTGCATCAAGTTAAGCGCAGTTACGTCAAGACCGGATGCTGATCTTGTGCTTGAAAACAAGACTAATCAATGATTCAGATTTTTTTCTTTTTTGCGTTTCTTTCTTTGACCTGGTGAAATAATTTAACTTTTACACAGCGTTCACTTCACAAAGTGAAATTGTCTGAACTTTTTTTTTGAACCCGTGTTAATGTTAGGCCACAAGACTTTTATTCTGAAATTGACAACAGGAAGTAGGTTGTTGCGTTTTATTTCCGTTTCGTTCTCTTCACTGCCTCACAGGAGGAGTGAGAGGAGACAGACAGGCGACCCAGCCGTCAACATCAGACAGTTTTTACTTTTATCAGAACCGCTCGGTGTCAGTTGGGTCTGTTTTTCTCATTTTAATTGTATTTCTCCTCCATCAACTATGACGCCTGATACTTGCACGTGACGAAAAATACGCTTTAATGGTCTTGGAGCGGAAGTGAAAATAAAAAGAGGGAACTTGTTGGAGGTTAACCCATCTAAAGTGATTTTTTTTTTATTCGGACAAGTTGGGCTTCAGAACCTCGGGGCATGGACACAAACGTTAAGGAGGGACTACTTTATGTGCAACACCAAAAGTTTGGCAAGGTAGGACTTTTATTGGCAACTTATTTGTAATTCGAAACTAAATAATTGTCATGATCCTGAAGTTATTGTTTTTAAATGCGTCATAAAGCAAATTATTAGTAATACTGAATCAGATAAACAATAAAATTCGAGTTGCACAACAAATCTGTGTAAAGAGAGTAAAAAAAATCAACTCAAACAGCTGCAAAAGTCAGTTTTATGACTGCATATAAAATAAAAGTTTCATTTTAAGTGATTGCAATTCAAATTAATTAACTAATGTTAAAATACAGAACAAACTGGTGCAGTTTCAGAGCTGTTTCTGTGTCCATGGACTTGTTCAGACTTTGAACCTGCAGACAGAAGAAGAAGTACAGAAAGCTTCACTGGTCTTGTTTTGTTTTTGATGTGGTGGGTTTGGACTGGAAACTTCTGCAGAGCTGAGCTGAGCTGAGCTGGAGCAGTGTGCATCATTACAGCTCTTTTTCCTGACTTTGGACATGAAGAATGAACTGTTAGTTATCATAATAAACTTTAAGCAGTATTTCAGTGAGGCCTTTTTACATCTGAAGCATAAAACTAGTGCAAAAACAGCTTTTTGACTAAACTTTTCTACTAAAAGGTGGTAAATTTGTGTCACTTGAGGCTCCACAAGTTAAAGCCGGGGTGAAAACCTTTGCGTGCGTTTGTTCCCATTTCTCCCACTGCAGCTCAGTCTGACTTAAAGATGAGTAAAGAGGCTCTTTGTTTGGTTGTCTCTCTCAGTCATATGACACAAAACAGTCTGCCCATATTTCCTGTTCTGAAATCACCACTCGCACTCCTCAAAAATCAACTTTCAGTGTCTTTTTATGTTTTTTTTTTTTACATATTTTTCTCAGTTGAAAGGGAACCTAATTTGCAGAGACCTTAACCTGAACAGGATAAGAAAAAAAAAAAGCACAAGCGATGAAAGAAAATAGAACAGGAAGCTGAATGCCAGCAGCTCTGAAAGTGCTGAAAATGGTGTGAGATTTGTTGACACGAATTATGAAATTGCTAAAACTGTCAGTGGACATAAACTGACACACACGCACACACACGCACACACACGCACACACACAGGGGCTGGTGCTCCTGTGCATGGTTGGAAAATGTGACATTGAGTAGCAGTAAAGTCTTACCCAAGTTTCTGTTTCAGAGTGTTGACTGGTGAAGTTGTGGTAGTTTTTACTGGAAGCTTACAGCAGTGTTTCTCAAAGTTGGGGTCGGGACCCAAAGTGGGGTCCCGAAACATCAAGGTGGGGTCCTGAAAAGATTTTCAGAATTAATTACATTTTTGCCTTAGTTGTTACAAATGAGTGAGTTTAGTATATTTAAAATGGATAAATGTAGTATAAAAATATTGTTACTATGCCCATGTTTTGTTGACCTGATACAAATGTTTATCATCCAAAACTAGCTGGGGGCACAGGTCTCTGCTACTGTTATTTTGTGGGTCAAAAGCTGAAAAGTTTGGGAACCACTGCACTTTGGTTCCCAAAGTTGGGCTTGGGACCCAATTCTGGGTCATGAAGCACCTTGGAGAATCTCCAGATATCAATTTAAAGGGTAATAAAATAATTGCTGATGTAATATTTTCCCTATAATTATTACAAAAACACAAAAAAAGTATAAATAAGTATTTATATTTGTGTATAAGCTGTTTAGATTGTCAAAAAGCCTGTGTTTTTAGGGTTATTAATGAAGCTCATGTACTCAGACCAGTAATATTTGGGGTCACAAGTTTTTGCCATGGATATTTTGTGGGTCAGAAGATAAAAAGTTTGGGAACCACTGGATTACAGGATGCAAACTGTTTCTGCACTTTATACATCCAGCTGTAGAACTGGAATAAAAATAAGCCGATTGTTTTGTTTTCCCCAAACTTACAAATGTGAATGAAACTCTGTGAAATAGATCAGTTCAGATCATTTGAATGTTATGAACATATAACTGGTTAGATAGCTTTTTGGACAAGCTCGTGTTGGTGAAGTGTGCATTAAAATCCAGTTGGATCATAGCGAGTTGCTGCAATCCTAAACCTTTTTTTCATTAAATTGTTATTTAAAAAGACATTTGTTTGCAAGCACAAATTGCAACTAAACTTGTAAACAGTAAGGGTAGATTATTTCTTTGTTGCAATGCTTCTTATACCGTTGGAAAGTCTGTTAAATTCCCTTGTAAAAGGTGCCACATTTGTAAGAAACATGCACCTGTAGGATGAGCAGTAGAGTGGAGTGTGTGGGTTGCGCACATGAAAGATTAGCAAAATCTTCTCTACCAAACAGCAGAGCATAATCTACCAAACACACATTCAGTGGCAAGTATAACTAACACCTTCCAGTGGGAATATTCTAATATTTCTACCAGAACGTAGAACCTGGTTAGGGCTGCCACGATTATTGTTGACTATCAAAATCGTCGACTAATTTAATAGTTGATGCATTTTTTTTCTAACTTTGTTTTTCTCTCCAAACTGCTGCAACACCTTCCACAGCCACGTCTGCCTTTCTGTCCCTGACGCACATGCAAAGTAGTGGTGATTAGGGCTGCCACAAACGATTATTTTTATAGTCGACTATAAAAAAATACAAAGTAAAAAAAAAAATGACGCATTGACTATTAAATTAGTCGTTGACGATTTTAATAGTTGACATAATCGTGACTAGTCGACTAATCATGGCAGCCCTAAATCTGGTGAATCAACACCGTTGATTTTCCGTCTGTAATAAATTAGTTTTTGTTGTTTAATCCCGGTGGTCCTGCAGACCGGATGCCGTCACTTCATCACATTATTAAGCTCGCCACGCCGCCTCAGAATCAGAGTCACACCAAGGCCCGAAGACGCCCAAGACTCGAACTGAGGTGTTTTAGTGAAACAGCCTATATTGGCTCAAACATATTAGTGATGAGTTTCTTTGGTTCTTTTTTTAGAATGAATTTTATATGTATTTTTTATTCATGAAGTGTCTAATTTTAGCCACTTCTGCTTCTGTAATTACAGTATTTAAATTTGCCAAACTGTCACCTGGATTCAGTTTCTGGGTTCAGGCTGTGAGGCAGAGCTGAGCGTAAACACATGACTTCAGCAGTCTGTATCTGCACCAGCTTGTCTGACTGAACCACACACACACACACACACACACACACACACACGCGCACGCACGCACGCACGCACGCACGTACGCACGCACGCACACACACACACACACACACACACACACTTCAGTGTCGAAGATGTCAGGAAATTCTTCACCTGCAGCTGTAGAAATCTTTCAGCCATGACTTTTTTTTATAAGTTGCCACTTGAGCCAAAGGGGTGTGTCAGGTTGAACTTGAATTACGTTACATTCCTGCCCCAGGCTGCAAGAACCCACGTTTTGATGTTTTACTAATGAATTAGTGTATCTTTACTGTCAGGTCTTTTTTTTTTTTTTTTGCTCTGTGTAGGCGGAATCCCTCACGTTAAGTCATATTTCCCAAAAATGTAGCAACGATGACCTCGTGAAGTGAAATGTGTAATCCTCTAAATATATTCAGCTCTGTGTGTATTTTAAGTAGAACGGTAAGATCATATTTTTTAGTAGTAAAGTATAAAACTTATATCCTGCTACATCATTCACCTGTTATTACCCAACGCCGAAAGGGTAAAAAGGGAAGTTTTTGCTGTGTCTATTAGCAAAATATCTTATAAACAGCTGATATTTAAACCATCAATTTTAGATATTTATTTTTTTTCTTGCATTCAGGATGAATATAAATATATTCTTGATTATAGAGATAATTAATAAAAATAACAGATTTACTGCATGAACGAAATTAACATATTTTTTCCTCATACGTTGTAGTTTAGTGTGAGGATATTTGCAGACATGACCTACATGTCAGTTCTTCAAAGAGGAAGTTGATTTGAATATTTAATTTTAAAAAAAGGAGTTCAGAATATTGTGCAGGTTTGGTTTCTGTTTCCTGGATGAACGTGTTTTAATGTTAAATGAAAGGTAGAAATAATTAGTTATACTAAAACTTTTTCCAGTTTATCAAATTAATGTGAAGAATTGAAAATAAAATTTAAAAATGCATGAAACAATATATTTTTAAATTTGTGTAGGTGAAAAGTGTTTAAGTTGGCTTTTTTTTTTTGCCAGGTTATGACTTTGTGAATGAGGCACTAAGTGGTTCATATTTGACGTTTTTAAATGTCATTAGTTGTGCCACAGCCTAAAGCTGTCTAAAATAATAATTAAATGTTTATTAAAAAGACTGTTTATCTTGGTGTTTGTAGACCGTCCTTCTTGTGTGTACATGATAACTCTGCTTTAACAAAATACCAGAGATAGTTATCATGTTGTGGCTTCTAAGGAATGTTTGGGGATTATTGAATAAATGTAGGGTAAATATGTTGTAAACACAGATTAAAAGGGCATTGAAGAGTTTTGCACTTTGGGTATTCAAGTCCTCGGGTCAAATTGTTCTGCACGATTCATCTACCCTCAACAGCTTGTCATCAAATGTCATGACTCGTCAGTTTAAAGCCGATGTGTTGAAGCGGGAAAACAATTATCAAAGAAACATTTACGACCAACATCCTGCTTGGTCTTAGATGTAAACGAGACAACACAACGTCTGAATGAGGAAAAAACGGGCCAAGACGTTTGAACCGTTCAGGCTTTTAGAAAGATTCTGAAACTGGTACATCTGCTGTTCTTGTTCTTCTCGAGCATCATTGACATCCTCTGTCTGACTCACCGCTAACAGTTTGAAGAACTACGTGTTCGTAGCTTTTCCTGCCAACAACTCAGCAAAGACACACATTGTACTTTATTATACACATCTCAGCATATACGTACATTGAAGGGCTGAACAAACACGAATATATCATCATCGCAATGTCAGTCTGTGCAATATTCATGTCGCAAAGAACTGATTGGAGTGCTTTAATTGTTGACTAATGTACTTGGAAGAGTTTTGATGATTTATTTTTATTGTTAATTCAATAT